ACGCTTCAAAACGAAAAACCGTTCCTGAGGGTATGCCTCTGGATTTACATGGAATGTTTAGTTTAATTTGTGTAATTTAGTGAACGTTCAGTATAGATCGGGCTCACCACTGATCTCGGGATTTACTGTTTTTAGGTTGGAAACTTTTTTATTCCACATGCGGTATGGTCCACGTGAAAGTGAAGGGTGCCGCTGTTCACGTTGATCCGAAAGATGTATCTCCTGCTTGGAAAGTTCTACAGATGGTTGGTTACTTTAAACTTATGGGTTTATGCATTAATCCTCAATCCAGGATCCTTTTTAGAAGCTCAAAGAACAAGAATCAGAGGTTGTTAAGATGGAAGTGAGTCCATCAGTGCAAAAACCAGAACAGGTTAGATTTTCGCTAGAAAACTTTCGCTTTTTCCGGTGCTAACGTATTTGGGGGGGGGGGAGACCACGTGGCTCGCGGCGTGCGATGACTCACCGGCTCCTCACTCATCGGCATCGTCTCAGGGAACTTGTCAACCGGGAAGCCTCTCTTCTCTTTCCTTTTTCTTCCTCCCTCCTTCTTTCCTTCCTCCCTTCTCTGATCCCTCCTCCTTTACCTTCTCCCAACTACTGGACTGGTAAATGCCTCGAGAAAATACCACTGGACCCTCGCAGCGAGAGCACGTCTGGTTGACAATTGCCCCGTAACCCACCGGCATACTTGAAGCGCGATTCTAGCAGTCAAATTAGAATAAAACAAACAAGGTTCACCGGGAACTTGCTGAGAAATCCCACGGAAGCCGAAAACAAATGTTTGATCTTTTGTAGTCAACAATAACAGTCAACAACAAACAGGCAGCAACAAAAATCTTCCAGCCCACAACTGTTTCTTCGGACTTTTTAGCGTTACTGTATTAATATAGCTAGGTCGGTGTTATATCCATGTCCTAAACAAAAATTACTTCTATTTTGCCGAGGAGGGAGCAGAAGAGCAGATGAGTCATCGCACGCCGCGAGCCGCGTGGTCCCCCCCCCCCCCCCCCAAATACGTTAGCACCCTTTTTCCTAACCACGAAATGTGAAACCACGTTTGCATGCATTCATAGGCAGTCTAGACTTCTTATTGCTATAGAATGTGAGCTGCACCAGTAAGGGGCACATTCAGCAATCACCTGATTGGTGGAATTCCTTTCTTGTACAGGTGACAACGTCGTAATCTGCCCGCGCAGTTTCAAGATGGATTGAGTCGACCCGTGCCGTTAACAACACTGGTTTGATTCCTGGGTCGATCACTAGCCGATCACTATTTGTAAAAAAGGCAGCCGCGGCGGAGCCACCACGCTCTCCTAAGCACCGGCCCGCGGCTGATTGCGAACGATATCAGTCTAACTAGTCCACTCCCGCAATTAACAGAAGGTCCGCACTAATTAGTGGCTCCTCAGTGAGTGGTAACGCATAGCACGCCTGTCCTAAGGTGGCTATTGACCGCAAGTTCCGAGAGATCATGGTGTTGAGGTGGCTGATTTTCGCACGGTTTCTCCGAAGACGACCCTCAGTAAGGCTGCGTTTATACTTTGCGGCAGCGTAGCGTAGCGTAGCGCTTCCAGCGTACGCCAGCGGCAGTGCCGGGGAAAGGATAGATATCGATCTAGCTTCACCAGCGTTTCTCGAGCGTTTCTCCAGCGGCACCAGCGTTTTGCTAGCGCTTGCAGCGGCAGGGAGTAGAGACTATGTGGCCGTGAGAGACGCGGAATCGACGTGTATTGTAGAGACTATGTGGCCGGCAGAGACGCGGAATCGATGTGTATAGTAGAGACTATGTGACCGTCAGAGACGCGGAATCGACGTGTATAGTAGAGACTATGTGGCCGTCGGAGACGCAGAAGCGATGTGCATTGTAGAGACTAAGGGCGAGTGAGAGACGCGCAATCGATGTGTTTTGTACCCTCCAGCTCTCCCATAGTCTCTACTCCCCTGCCGCTGCAAACGCTAGCAAAACGCTGGTGAAACGCTGGAGAAACGCTGGCGTACGCTAGCGTGACGCTGGTGACGCTGGGAACGCTAGATCGATATGCATCCTCTCCCCGGCACTGCCGCTGGCGTACGCTGGAAGCGCTACGCTACGCTGCCGCAAAGTATAAACGCAGCCTAAGTGTGCGTGTGAGTATCACTTTCATGGAGCAGAGGCTATCTCGTTAAGTCCTTTCGGGGCTGATGGCCTCGTTTGCTCGGACAATCTAGGCTGTATCAAAAAATTGCTGACAACCTTGTCCCAGGCATTTTCCAGCACACTAGAACGTCACAATCAGCAAATCACAGGCCGCGAGGGAGGAACGGGCCGTCGCCCATCGTCAAGAGTTCCTATTCATAACTTGACAGTCTATATCGAGCTATCCTCCCATCCATAAGTTCCTCCTCATGCACGGCGCAAACGTCCCAAGCAATTTCGGTTCTTTCTTTCCCGATTTTCTGTCAGTGGTCCTTTTGCGTGTTGGTGCTTTTCTGGCGCGTCATTGTTCGGTACACTTATGTAAAAAGGCGTCAAAGCTTGTTTTTTTAGCGCTGCCCACTTTCTCCTTTTCGGAAGCCTTGATTTCTCTCGAAATCCAGGTATGGGAGCAAATGTCAATATCTTGTAGACCGCAGCTTTCGAAAGTAAAGCCTGGCAAGCTACGATTGGCCTTTAACGCGTACCATGGATATCATAACCCCTATTCATTATATATATAGAAGCAGAAGTTGTCTGTGTGTTTGTCGAACGGACCACAATAGGAGAAGAGGCTCCGCCCACAATGGGCGGGGCCTATATTTGGCTGAGCGGTGTCTCCTGAAAACGTTGTCAACAAACTCTTAAACGCAGTCAACACATTGGGATGGGGGTGAGGGCATGATGAAATTTTACCGAATACACCAACTGAGCTAAGCCTCGCACAAAATAGACGGGGCGTGCACGGGAGTGAGTAGTACCAACGACGAAAATTCGTAAAATTCCTCCGGAGAAGATCACAGGGACTGGGGACAAAATCATTCTCTATATGCGCGGGACCAAGTAAAAATAATTTCGAAGTTCGAACCCGGAACTATCCCAGCAGCGGGAAAACGTGGAGTAAGAAGTCGGTCGAGTTTGAACGGAAGAAGGCATACTTGAAATGGGCGTGTGAAGCAAAAATCACTTTTTCCATCAGTATTCTTGGTAACAACATGTGCTAGTTTTATCATAACGATTCCACGACATTTCTATACAGACAGGATCTGACACTTTGAAGCATTGGGCCAAATGAGCAGTCTGCTACGCCAGAACCTAAAGCATTTTTTTTGCCGAGCGAGTGTTTGGACATGCAAACAAGCTCTGTGACCGACTCGCATTTCGTTACAGAAAATTCGAGTGGGCTGCATTCTATGCGGAGGGGGGCGAGGGACGGGTAACATAAGTGACGAACCAAGCCCCCAGCGAATGAGATGTGCGCCGAGTCGGCGACGCCTGCTGCACAAGTTCATAATATAGTCGCAAGGCAAGTGAGAGTAGCAGTGAATATGAGGTCATAATCGAAAATTCATAACTTACTACCATTCTTTTGCATTTATTTATTTGTTTATTCACCTGCTACTCATTCTGCAACAACTCAAATGCACATATACTTCCACTTCAGTTCATCCACTAAGCATCCAGTACCAGCATTCCACCCCTCTCCTTTACGAAAATTTCACAACCGTCCACGCTAAGGGGGGGGGGGGGGGTATATACCAAATGTGAAACGGTAATGTTCTGGAATTGCAAAAAAAATTTTTCTGTAGCGAAAGGCGGGCGATCCGACTGGGCTATGAAAAGAGCAAATTAAATTTCTGAGGGCGCAGAGATGTTCTTTGCCATACGCTTAATGTCAAAATGGTCATTCGTAATTCTCATCTTGTGCCGCAGTGGAACCGACAAACTATTCGCATTGAAAGTGGATCAATCTTTTTCTCACTCATTATTAGTGTCGCATTGAATTCAGTAATACCGATTACTGTTGTTATTACGACTGACCAGGAAGTTGGCACAAACTTTACCATGGAACTTTGAATGGAGACCTGGGTAGATCGATAGTCTATAAGGTTATTTACAAATATAGATAGCAAAACTGCAACCTGCATTTCACAAGCAACTTATGAGCAGGTAAAGTTTGTAATGGGCAGTAGGGTGGAGGCTTGGTGTGAGCTGTGAAGCATAAGCGAGGAAATCGCATACTGTCGATTGAGTGTCAACAGTCGAACCTTACCACTGGAACCACCACATTTCGATTCGACTTGTGCGATTCTCCCTCCCTTCACAGCTCACCACCAAGTCTCCACCCTACTGCACCATTACAAACTTTACCTGCTCATAAGTTGCTTGTGAAATGCAGGTTGCAGTTTTGCTATCTATATTTGTAAATAACCTTATAGACTATCGATCTACCCAGGTCTCCATTCAAAGTTCCATGGTAATTTGGCGGACTTCCCTGGTAAGCTTCAGATTTCGCCACAGTTGTCATGCTTGCATGTACATTGCAGAAAGTCAAATCCCGCAAACGGAGGTTACAAGAAGCCTTTGAGGGGCTACAGAAGATGGATGAGCCAGCTGCTAAGCGCGAACATGACGTGCCTGTTGTTATCCACGACCGAAGCACGTTAGTTTTTATTTTTGTTTTCACAGCAGTGATGGTGCGTTCACAATGTTATCTCAGAGGTGAGGCCACACATATAATTGCTCTCGATTGTGAATACGTTGGAGGTGGAACAGATGGCAGAGATGATCTCCTTGCCAGGGTGTCAATTGTGAACGAGGTATATTTTCTTCCTTTAGCTCCAGATTGTTTTCTCGTTCTAAAGGTGTTGGAATATTTACGCGCAGTGTTGTTCCACTGGATTCTAGATTTCTTGTAAACGCAGTGTCTTGTTTGAAGGCGCAGAATGCTGCACTCAGTAAACTTCATATTTTAACTTTCCCTGATGGTTTAGCAGTAAGTGAGACTGCTATTTGCTTCTAGACCCAAAAGAAAGCGCTCAATAAATTAGATGGTACTCGGTGGCTGCTCCATCACCCTTCTCTTAGTAAAGACTCAGGCTGATATCGCAGACCGATCACAGTACGAGCCGTATTTCGTTGAGGACATTCTCCATAGGCCTGGCCTTGAATTTGAAGGCAGACCGCGCGCACAACCAATTTTAGATTTGACCCCTTTGTCCAGTTAGTCCAGTCCGCAGACCCAGAGATTTTCCGTCTTTCCCCATTTTACGGCGAATGAAAAGGGTGCTGCAGCCGTTGTAATTTCAAGTCCTGTTATCTGCTCCGTTGGACCACCCACTTACGAACATCTTCACAGTTAACGCAGGGACGTTCATTATTTTTTGAAGCGGCGGGCATAAATCCGAACTGCGTGTCCATTTTGTTGACTCTGCTCATGCTCACAAGTAATGCTGCTCTCCTTTTCACCTTATCTTTTACTTGTAAATCCGGAACTCTGACTGCTTTATAGCGCCCTCCAGTCCAATTACTGTAGGTTGTTACTATACAAGGTCAGTTTTGGATGAACCAACCGACGGGGATGGGTCGATCGTGTTCTTTCTGTAGGTTGAAGGTTTGTTGCGGAAATTCAACTGTGTGTCCCGAAATCTGATGGGAACAGGAATAATAGCATATTCCGGCCAATCAGCTACTGCAATATTCGATATCTTTATGGGGGGTTAAAGAGTCTTAGAGGTTATCGAATCGAGTCATAATCACGACATTTTTGTTTCAATTCATCTTCGTTATGTGTCCTGCAGAGTTTCGAATGAATGTCCTGTGGCGGCTAATTCCCTCTAGTTTGTTATATTATATTTTTTTGCTTCATGCCTCTCTTCTTATGTCCTTCCTGCAATGTTTCTCGTCTATTCTTGATTGCGAGATGTCTTCCCTCACATGACTGACGTTGCAGGTGTAGTGTTGTCCTGGTATCACTTTCGCATCTAGCGTCAGCGTCTATTAATGGCTGTTTCTTTTATCATCGGCTTTTTTAGCCGTCATTAACGCAGTTTAGCGGAGTTTTGTTTTCTTAATTAGTGTTATTGTCTCCCCCCCCTTCCCTGCTCAAGCGACAATGGGAGCCGGGCCGCAGCGAGGTTGGCGGACCTACTAAGATGGTATCCGGAGTTCGAATTACGTCCGCCATCGAACTTACAGTGTTGGGCGGCCACTGTCCTTCTGAGTTGCAAAATCTGCCCCTCCCTGTCGCACCCCAAACCACTTCCCCTTGCTCTTGATGCAGTTATCGGAATCTGTGTTCCTCTCCTTAGCATATCTTGTTTTTCACTGTTTATCACTTACATACCCGATTACTAATAAAATAATAAAGTAAATAGTTACTACTCGACTAGTTTTAGAGACTTTACTGTACCTAATGTAGCATCTTAATGTTTCTACGTTTCTTCGCAATTCTTTTGTGTATATTTTATTTTAAAGGAAGGAAAGATTGTATACGACAAATATGTTAAACCGAGAGAACGGGTTACAGATTTTCGTACAAGTGTAAGCGGTATTCGACCAGAAAACATTGCAAAAGGTAAGTCTGCAAATTTGTTTGCCATTCTCCCTTCCAATCCATGTTAATACTTCCCTAGGCTTGCCGTTTGATGTCGTTCAATGGAAGTGGCTAAAATTCTGAAGGACCGTGTAGTTGTCGGTCATGCTCCTGAACAATGACTTTCGAGTAAGTGTTTTCAAGTCAGTAACGCTCAAGTTTGATTCAGGCTCCTTGTCTTCAGGTTTTTGGAATTTCACTCATAATAATCGCAAAATGCTAACAATCGTGACACCAGCTAAATGTCACTTGCTTGCCGAAAGATGGCTAACTGGCAATGGATTGAGTGTGTTTTTTGGCGCCTTCGTGATATAGTTTCTTTCTAACGCGAACTGATTGCCTCGTGTACAATAATTTCAGTGCCACGCCGTTTATTCGGCTAGTCTTGTTATCTAGGCTATGTTTTTTGTAGCAGTTCGGCGGCGGCCTTGGAAGGGGTGGGGAGGGGACATTTTGCGTTTTTGCTGCCCATTGTCGTGTTGAGCCATCAAATAGAGATTTGTGAAGACTTGTGACGCCAGCACGTGATTCTAGTTAAAGTTTTTTGAACTCCCGGCCTTCGGGCGCGTCCGGGGGCTTTGCCTTTTACTGGTGCGTGCTTCACTATCTGAAGAGAGCGGCAAGACGAGCGCAGTTTGCCGCTTGCCGCGCCGAGCGCGCGGACCCATGGGCGCGGCGTTTTCCACCTTCGTGTGACCCCTGCTGATTGGTTAGCCAGGTCCAGACATTCTCTGTTTTCAGTCTGAAATTTCCTTTGTATGGCCATCCTACTACTATGGAACGATTGCATTCATGCGGGCCATACCGCACCGCCCACTGCGGGGGACCTGCCGCGTCCGCCGCTTACCGGATTCTCCTTGTCACATACCCCTATCGACGTGCAGGACCTTTAGAGACCGCACTTCGTCGAAAACTTACAGAGAGTTGTACAAATTGAGCATGATTGGGCTTGACGCCGCTTATTCCATGGTCCATGCGACGAGCGGTATCTAATTCAATTACGAGGCAGCCTAAAATGAAATGGCACCTCCACCATTGTTCCCTGCGTTCATCGTCCTCGACCTACCGTCCTGGAATACTTGTCAGCTATTGTAAAGAATGTTGTCAACTATTGTAAACCGGTGAAAGTGCAGAATGACCCTTCTCATGGTCGAACCGCGCTTGAATTTTTTTATATCAAAGTAAGCACGAAAAATACAAATGCAGAGGGAACTCTCGTTCTGAACTCTGTGCTCTGGTTTCGGTTAACAAAAGCCGAGAAACTTGGCGGTGTGTAATTGATCAAAATCTGTCTCAATGTTCCTTCTTGCGGTCCTACTGGCTTTTATTTGCAGGTGCCGTCACTGAAAAAACTGGCGAATGCCATTCTCGGAATTGATATTCAACAAGGCGAACATGATTCTGTTAGTTCTTCTTTCATATAGGTATTTGCATTCTACGTTGATTGTTAGGTTATTTTTTTCCAGGTGATAGATGCCCGCGTGGCGCTGAGGCTCTACTTAGCTGTGAAAAAGAAATGGGAAAGCGACATAAAACGGTTTCGTCGTTGACCGGCTGAATGTTCTTGTTTTGTTGTGGCTGATATAAGTATGACTAGCCATGCAATTTTGTCCTGATTAGCAAGCGCCTCTGTCGGTATACTGCGACTAGGAATATGAATAGAACTGCGAAGGATTTTCTGAAAATCACTGCAAGGCTCGTTATTATTGTTTGGAAGTAGTCCTTCGCAAAGTGGTGTTTGTCCCATGATTTTGGTGTCATCGTTGTTGGCAAAAAAAGCAGAAATAGGAAAATGTTGCTCCTTGCTGCGTACTGTTGGCTGTGTATTTATGAGTTGTTCAACATTGTTGTTATTCCTGTTACATTTTTCGTGAGTTTATGTTTTGAGAGAGTTGAATTAGCATAAAGGCGAGTTATATGCAACCCTTTCGCGTTCTGTCCATTCCTGTTACATACTACGGGGAGGCTGCTCAAAGGATTGGGCGTTATCGACTCAAGGTCGCTTTCATACTTTACCAATGTGCGCAATGGTGAGCTTTTTAGGAGCGTTTGTTGCACGATGTAGGGGTCCATGCATGGACCACACAGATGGGGTTCATTTTTGCTAAACGCTATTGGGAATGCCAAAAAAGGAGCGAAAAAAATTGACAAGAAAGGGCGATACTTGGTCTCGCCTCTGACCTACACGGCTACGAAGATGTGAGACTTGGGGTGTAGCTGCCATCCACATACAGCAGAAGAGCTCGGGACTCTTTTCGTTGAAAGTTCGTATACTGAGGTAGCTGATAACCCCGATCACGTTAATGACACTTATTTTCGGTGTCGAGGCCGCTAGGGCCACCATGGCGCTAAACAGCCACCGCGATGGTAAGGGAAGCTACGGGAATTACTGAGGCTACGTTTATATTAGGTTGGCGGGAAAGTTCTGTCATACTTTTTTGAACCCAAGTATTCGCCTATTACCTGAAGAGGGCTAACCGGTAATGTGAGCATTTATACATTAAGGATTGATCTTTCTATTAGTGTCACTGGCTCGGCTCCTGCTCATCCTTATTCTGCATTATGGACAAGAATGTTATCCGCTACCTTCAGTATCGACCCCTTCAAGCGCTTCCTTAAACTATTTCTTCTACCACCCTGGCGCCAGCATGGCAGCTGTCGACGCCGAAATAATGGAGCTGCACAAGGACAATGTCTACAGTCATCAGACAATCTTCCACTAACGAATAACTCTTTAGAGAGGGAGCCAATGACGAAGTGAGGTTCGGGAGTACCTGTAAACTCAGCTCTAGATAGCGGTGGGTCGGGAAACTACTGGATGAAGAAGCTGCCTCCTCGGTCAATCCGTACGCAAGGCAGCTACGAGATCTGAAGCGAATCGTCAAGCAGAGGGCAAAATCCATCGGCACAGTCCTGCTCTTTCCTGACTGCTAGTCGCCTCCCGTATTCAACCGTTATACAGCCGAGAAAACCTCCACGACTTGAGCCCAAGTCAAAGTTGAGATGATGTCCAACTTTGCGTCGCGCCGGCGTGCATTGTTAAGCGATGGCATCCACGAACTGTCCAAAAACTGGCAAGGATCTCTCAATAACATTGCTGTATAATTTTGATCTTGTACGCCTCTCTGTAAAAAGAAAGTCTAATTTGAAAAAATGTGACAGAACTTTCCCGCCAACCTAATACTCTCGCGGCAGCGTACGCTGCCGCATAGTGTACAACGCAAGGGCGAAAGAACTTCAAAGTACTCACCATAATGCCAAGTGGAGGGGTGTGTGACGTTCTTAAAAGATCTCCACTTCAACACGCTCTGCATGGCCTGATTTTGGGAGACCGTGGCGGTGTTACCTGACTTAATTGCTCTCTCACTAACTCCTGACCTCTCGACTACAGACACGACTGAGCCAAACCTAACATGGAAAGTAGAAGGAAAAAATGAAAGTAAACGTAGGAAATGTCAGAAAAAAAAGATGTTTTCATAAATTTAAAATGTCAAAAACGCATTTATCCACTTACAACAACTGAAAGACGTACATAACATGAAATTACTGCAATCCAAATAGGAAAAAAGGGGCACGTATTGAAAAAATTCGTATGCTTTCATCATGGAAGGTATCCCAAATGATATGAACTTCTAGGCTCTGTAATTACTTGACGGTTGAATGTGTCTTGCGCCAAGAACTCGCTGCAATTGCAAGGACTTTATTGATGCCCCTCTATAGGGAGGTTAATTCGTTAAATATGACCGCCACTACGTTAAACTGTTAGGCATCTCTTTTATCAACCTCACACCTATATAAAGGTCGTCGCTAATAAGTATTTTAAGCGGGCTGATCAGCGGAAATCTTTAGCAATGTTGTTTGTGTAACGCAGAGTAGAGCATGAACGATAAAACTCCTCCCTTTATTCCGTTCCCACCAATTCTCTGATTTTCCATGATGTCTCCGGCAGTACACCACTCCCTTTCCCTTTGTGCACGTTTTCTTCTTGAACTTCGATGCTTGTATGTCTTCGAAATGGCGCATCTCAAATCGAAGCGGAAGAATATTGTCGAAAAAATATGCTAGATTTGTTTTTTTTTTGTTACTAACACTACCATCTAAGCCTAATTTATGTGTTTCATTTTAATTCATTTTAACATGTTTTCCATCTTTGATTGCTTCATGTGATTCAAATTTTTTAATTGTAGTCCTTAGTCCGATTAAATTTGCTAAAAAATCAGCAGTTAATAATCAGTCATCATGATGTAATCGTCAAGTAGAGGAAAGGTCAGGAGTTAGTGAGAGAGCAATTAAGTCAGGTAACACCGCAGGCGAGTCTCCCCAACAGGCATGATAGGTGTGAAGTGAGATCTTTTAAGAAAGTCCTACACCCCAAGTGGAGCATATGGATTTTTGACGCTTGTTTTGCATTGTCTTATGGCCTACTTTCTTATAAGTTCAACTATAGCTCCGTTCTAGTTTCATACTTAAACGTAAAGCGTAAGAACAGAGCCCGAATAAAAGTTGAAATCGTTCTTTCCTGTCGAATTTTTTCACTCCCTTCCTTGGCATTCCTCAATAATGTTTAGCAGGAGAGAACCCCATCTGTGTAGTCCATGCATGGACTCCAACATCAACAAACCAAACCGCTCCAAAATACTCACCATGACCTGAACGACCTCCCTCGTTAGGGTGTCCGTAGGATTAGCTGATTCAAGAAAGCGCATGTCGGACGGATGTATGGACTTTTAGTGGCAAACGCACATTTTTCGGCACCTCCTTTCCGCGACCCAGTCGCTCTGCGGTGTGACCCCACTTAATTGCTGGCTCGCTGCCTTCTGACCTCTCATGGATTACGCTGTTCAGTCATCTACAACATTCTATAAAGCAAAGAATAGGAATAAAGAAATATGAAGAATAGCTCATACCAAATGAATATTGAGTTTCAAACTTATGAATTAAGAGTTTAAAAAAAACATATTGTAGACTTTTCCTCTAAAGTTTCAAAATAACTTTTATTGGTAAAATATTATTATTATACATTCTCAAATACAAATAGAATTATTATACCTTCTTCAAATACAAAATAGAGAAATATTAACGGCTTTCATTATAATACATGAGGGCATAAACTTTAAATTGCTGTGCTCGGTTTGGTTAGCAACAATCTTGACGAATCTCAACAATACTTTTCTCATCTGACTTTCAACTCACGAGCCGTTTCGGTAACAATTGCTTCGAACGCTGTAAGCAAGAAAACGAAAAATCTGGTTTTCATCTCGTTTTAGCAACTTTCTGGCGTTTCCTGGATCCTGTTAATAGGAAGCTCACTGAATAGAGTCAATACAATGGTGTTCAAGATCCTAACTTCCTGGAGGCGTCTTAAGGCTGCTCCTGCTTGCTTCTTATGCAGGTATTAGGATAAGGAAGACATCCAAGATAATCAACAGCGCTCACGGTCACATTCAACGAATTGACCCGCTTGAAGGCGGTAATCTCTTCATATATATCGTCTATAAGCGCAAATGTTGGCTTTGTATTCGATTGAGGAAGGTCCTCTACCAATTGGTTTTTTTTTTTCAGTTCTTAAATCATCGACTGGAAGCTCAATACTCCATTAAAGTCTTCAGGACACTCCGTGTTCATATTTTTTGAGTTGTGTTATAGCATGTTATAGGTGATTGAACAGCGTAATCCATGAGAGGTCAGAAGGCAACGAGCCAGCAATTAAGTGGGGTCACACCGCAGGCGACTCTGCCATTATGAGGGGAGAGGTGCGAAAAGAAGTGCATTGCACAAACGTCACATACCCGCTCGGGAACCCACGGATCACTAGTCAATTGGTTCCTATCTACTTCCTTGTCGCCGATTCTCCGGATTCGGAGATTCTATGCATTCGCTATGTATGAACGTAGCCTATGCAAGTAGCTCGTTCAAGACGAGGAGCCAGCCGTTTTCGCGCATGAATAAATGGGGTACAGGAGTGGAACGCAAATCTGGGCTCTTTTGTTTCTGGGGAGATCTGGGATTGCGAAAAATGGTAAGGAAGAAATGCCTGGGAACTGTACATTAGTATTCCATATTACTCGGAACATCAAACAAGTTATAAACATGTGCAGTCATTAACCTGGCGGTTCATCGCCAATAGCGGCAAACCGGCTCATCACATTAGGCGTGTTAGTTGCTCATGGCTGTGGCACAAAAAGCCATTGAACTGGAAAGTGAGTGCTGTCTTGGTGGTCTAACAGACAGTGGCAAATTAAACCGGAAAAGCTTGTAAGCGGCAGGTTTCAACTCCGCCCTGCCGGTCAATGGCCTTTTGCAGCTTTACCTCGTCAATCCGGGGCAGTTGATTAGGGCGGTCGTCAACGGGCCGCAGCGCGTGCCAGGAACTATTTGCTTTTCCAGGCTAATTTAGTCATTTTTTCCACCTTGTGAAGATAAGGAGCTGCTAATCTGGGAAAAAGTAGCCAAAACAGTGAAAAGTTGGAAAAAATGACTAAATTACTGGAAAAAGCAAATAGCTTCCCGGCCCCGTTGACGGACCGCACCAATGCAACTGCCCGGATGA